AATATTTGAATTCTTTTGTATTCATACCTGTATTTTTAACTAGTTAAACACGTAGTTCAAATTAAGTGTGTGTATTAAGACATCGATATATTTCTCTTATCTGTCAGTACTGATGTATCATCTAGAATTCTAGAACAATTATAAATTCAGTTAATATTATATTCGTAGTCTACTTGGATTATGTCATAATACTAACAGGAGCAGTTTATTGACAAGCAACAAGTTATACAACAATACAAACCTCAGAAAATCAATAAAAAATGTTAGCTATTATGCGAGCGAAATAAGTTCTATAAAGAGGACAAAGTTCGAAATTAATCGATTACTATCATCCCATTTTAAACATCAATTTTAAATTAACTATTTAATTATAAAGCTTTCATGATAGCGAATGTGATGTCAATTGTAATACTGTAGCTAATTCTAAAGAAATAAATTTAAATGAAAATTTTGTGTTCCACGAAAGTTTCAAACTGATTTGCTATAACGTATGTAATTTTTAATTGTATACATAATTATTATAGAATCAATTAAGATCAGGTTGGTCAGCTATTGATAAATTTGGCGCCATTTTAGATGCTTGAGCATGTGTTATTACTTAAGACAAATTCCTATAATAATTTGCCTTAAGTAGTAATTACTTGATGGTCTTTTTTTATTGCTTCTTATCCTTAATAAATACTTTGGTTTTCCTTGTCCTTTTTTGTTTATTTGTTAAACAAATGTTACATATTATTGCAAACGCAACTTATTTTTAGTCGTTTACCTTTTCTATGTGTATACTGGACTGAAGATGTAATTTTTTTATCAGGCGGTTTGCATTGTAAGTACGTAGATATCTAATAGTGATAGCGAATTCTCACATTTATAATGAGAAAATAACTCCTTTGTAATTACATTTCGTGATGTATGCAGATAGGATCATTTCTCTTGTAGCGAGAATGAATCATCCGCGATCTAAGCATCATTGTGCTAGAAAGTTTTGTCTGCTTTTGTTATTATAGTTGGATCTTAAAGCAATTCTTACTTTATGGTTTCTGTAAAAACTTATATAATTATAGCTGATTCAATACCAGAATTTGTAAGATTAAAATAAATAAGACCCACGGCCACTTTCTACCATCATACGGCTCGCCATCGACAGGGAGTTCGCCCTCATACCCTAGAACCTAAATGGTCGCGTACAACACGGTTTCAGTAATGTTTTCTTCCACAAACACTCAAGTTATGGAATGAGCTCCCTGCCGAGGTTTTTTCAAGAGACCATAGCATGAGGATCTTCAGAAGGAGGGTAAAGAGGTTTCTTCAGGGTCGGCAACGCGCGCGTAATATCTATAGTATGGCAGGCGTTCATAGGCAGGTAACCGCTTAGTATCAGGTGGGCCGTATTCTAGTTTGCCACCTCAGGAGAATAAAAAAAGGCAGAAAGTTTAAAATAGACAAAATTGCTGGTTATTAAAAAGACATTCCAAATCTCGAATTTGTGTACTCTACTAAAGTCGTATAGGAAGGTATATATAGTCGTATAAGTTGTAAATGTAGGTATATATCTAATTCTAAATCTAGCACTAAGTTCTTGGTAAGAATAGAGATTTGTGCTCTCAATTCGCCCGAAAAGAAAAGATGAGTTTGTGCCATACATACCTATCAATATTTCATATTTACATTATTCCTTATCACACAATATAGAAATATTATTAAATAATTATCAAATATTATGATAAGAGATAATCATAACTACATATAATATGTATACATACGTAATATATAAGAAAGTAGGAATTTACATATTATTATAATATTCTATAGGTATGTATTTATTTGACTGTGTGGTCCTGGCATAGAAGAGGCCACCCCTTCCTTTCCCGTGGGTGTTGTAAGAGGCGACTAAGGTACGGTGAGGGATGGGCAGTAGCGTCCCTCTTAAAACATCTCTAAAGCCTAACTGCGGTTGCCAATCCGCCTGCCAAGCGTAGCAACTACTGGCGAAACCCCCCAAGGGGGAGACTTACGTTTAGCAGTGAACAGTTAAGGGCTGATATGATGATGTATTTACATCCATTACGTGTGCACATCTTACACCTGTATTTTGCATCAATATGTCAGCTAATTTCAGAGAGCACTAGATATCTTAATATATTAACTATCACGCTTTCACCTAATGGAACCGGCTATTGACATAACGGATATATAAACAAAAAATGATAGATAAATCGATTAGCTTCGGTTTTACTTTAAGTTTTCATAAAAGAAATTTGCCGTAATTTATACCTCTTACATAGTTATTTATTTATAAGCTGTATCTAATACAGCAATAGGTACAGTCATTGAAATACTATAGAAAACTATGTGAAGATTTAATTTTACTATTTAGTTCTATTCTAAAGATTTGCTTTAATGGTTTAGTACTATAGTTTTATTGCTTGCTTGGAAAACTATCACATATTGACATATTCTAGTAACGTAGCAAACTCTGTTCATGTTCATGGTTTCTCTCACTCGTTTATTGAGAAATGACACTAAACTAGAGAGTGACAAACTGTAGAAATAAATTGTTCTTATCTATAAACCTATTTAGAATCAATATTTTGTAATTAATTATACCTAATCAACAGATAAAATCGTAAACAAATCGCACCATAGATATTGTTGAACTACGAACAATGATAAAAATGATAACGGACTTTACAATAGGTACATACACATAAAAATAACTTGCCGTGCTATCGTAAATTATAGTCAATTCCAATAGAATTTAATAGAAAAGTAAACAAACGAATAATTAATTCGACCATTAAATGCACTCGATATCGGGTACTGTGTGGTTTTACTATAAAACATAAATTTTTTTTATACAACTTAGAATGGCAAACAAGCTGACGGTCCACCTGATGGAAAGTGGTAACCGTCGCCTATAGACATGAGCAGTACCATGGACATAACAGAGTATACTGTTTCGCCCATGATACCCCCCATGCGTTGCCATTCCTGAGGACTCAGGTGTTATTCCTCTGTACCCTGTAAATTCACGCCATATACCACCCTTTAAACCGAAACACAACTATGCAAACACAACTGCTTCACGATTGAAACACGAATGGGACAGAGGTACCCAAGCAAACGACTTTTGTACAAAGTCTCCCTCTGGTATATAGGATTATCATCATTATTATAACTTTTTCCTATTATTTGGCGTCATTACAGCACAGATATAGTCTGTTTCAATAGAAGATAATATAAATGTAAACGAGTAAGTATTTGACTCGACTATGAAAGTTTGCTGATATCCAATAACTACCTACTAATACAAATCAAATATCAATTAGTTGATTGTTTCTATTTGTCTCTAATTTTATCTGGAGAGAATTTCTGTAATATTTTCAACATAATTTTATTATCTTTTCATTAAGTGATATTAAAATAAAGTATAATAAAAACACTCTCTAGGTATTTGGCGTCTTTATGTATATATCTATCTAGATTATAAACAGAATACTACTGTTAAATTTACACACCTAATCGATTGTAATGAGACAAAATTTAAATCTGTTACTGCCTTGTAACCACTTAGTTTTGATTTGCGATTACATTACAATGGATATCAACAAAAGCTGGCCAAATTAATTATATACTCATTTTTATCCAGCCAGTAACATTTATGATTAAACATGCTAAAATTTTTTTACAAAATATATAAATATAACGTCTAGACACAGAATTTAATATTTACAATAGTATTAATTTTCCTCACGTCTTTTTCTACAACAACTACTTATCTACTTATTTTTAAATTTTAAACTGACACCGTTTTAATTAAGTATATTTTTGCATTAAAATATAAATCTTGAGGTTTTTATATATAACTGGTTGATAATATATACAATGAATGCGTGTGTTAATACTTAGTAAGCAAGTAGGTACCTACTGAAAAAATTAATTTTAAAACTAAATATTTTTGCTACGAAAGTGAATATTGGATAATAAATCTTACAAAATGTTTCAAAACACTCGGTAGTAGAGTATGAAACAAATGTGGCCTTAACCGAAACGCTGGCAAGGATAGTCGTTGTTTACGTCTTGCTTGCACAGCTCGGTTTAATATCGCTAGTGTTTGTATAAAATATTTCAGTATATAAAAAAAGTAATGCAATGTCTAAAAAATATACATTTGTTTATAAAAAATTATGTTATTCGAATAAAAATGATTTTGTATCCAAAATTGAAGTGCAAATAGTCAGAAATTTGTCTCGGTAAAACCTAGACATTTGTGCAACCTACAACAATTAATTCAATTGTAATATTTAAAGAATGGACGCGGAATTTATTTACGGTTTGTGATTACAACTTTTTTTTATTATCATAAAACAATATTATTAATTTCTTAACTAATATTTATTGTTTAAAGCTATTATATATTTTTTTAAACTTAATAACTAAGAAACTGATGGCCCATCTCATAGAAAGTAGGTAGTAACCGTCATCTGTACCTACACATGTTTCAATTCAATACACACAGCCAAGTAAAATTTGGGTTTCAATAACTTTCATTTAATTAATATATACATAACGTATGCACACACTCAATGACCTCAATAAACTAAACAATTTTGGCGTTTTGTTCTCCAATCAACAAGGTTACTTACCGAGTTTTCGCCTTTCACGGTGTTATCGCAATACATTTATACTATGCTTCTCGTGTTCCACTTGCGTGTGACAGAAGTCGTAATAAACCAGCAATGTGACGAGTTATTGCTGTTACGAACACTCGAGTTACAAGTATTATACCTACACGTTGGTTGTATTGCGTGCAATGGTCAATTACATCCGTGCTTCATCTGTGGTTGTCGCAAGCGGCCACCTCAATGCAACGTCATGCCAAGGCATATTCTCGATTTAGGCCTCCAATATATTACGAGTATGATGGTATTATTCACTATAATGTCATTTGCTATAATATAGGGAATCCATTATAAAGCAATTTTTTATTGTCTTTATTACAGATTTGCAGCTAGCAGCGGAACTCGGGAAAACTCTATTAGAAAGGAACAAGGAACTCGAAACAGCGCTACGTCAGCATCAGAATGTTATCGAAGATCAAACACAAGAAATCGAGGTAAATATGAATAAATATCATCATGATTATTACCGTGCTTTTTTTTGCAAAATATTTAATAAGTTGGCCTTATTTACAAAAGTAGATACCATACTAAAATATGATGAATTGTTTAAAATAGGGTATTTATTTTTAATGGATGAAAATGGAATGGTAACACCGCCTGCGCTCTCGGTATACGCTGGTGGGGCATCAGTGAGGAATGATAGGTGAAGATGAAGCAGATCAATTGGCCCATCATGGTGAATTCATCAAAAATTAACCACCATGGTTTTCAGGGAGAACTGCGTGGAAGTCGACTTGTTAAGGCATATTGCTAGCAATTGTCCTGTTAAATCTCATTACTAACAATCCCTTCCTACCTAAAATAAGGTATGTACAATGCGACCAATATGTCGAACATCTCTATATTGTAAAATGATTAATAAAATAATAATAATATCAAAAACAAGGCTGAGGTTTAATTGGTGATCAGGAGTATTTCGACATTTAACGGTTATACCTCCTATCAGAGATAAAATTTTACAAGAGTCAAAAACATCCTAATTCTGAATTTATTCCAAATAAAATAATAAAAAGTGCTAGTTATACAATCACACAAGTCGCTTAATACTCAAGTTAGGATGTGCTTTGTTATAAACCAAGTAATGAACTCTGAAGGCACAACCTAAAACCACTGAGCTCATGAAAGATAACTTAAACAAATATATATTATATACATATAAAAATCTCGTCACAATGTTTATGGTCGAACTCCGAAAGGATCGACCGGTTTTTATGAAATTTTTAATATATATTTGATAAATATGAGTATAGATCGTAAAATATATTTCATACCGCTAGGTGCTTAAATTACTATTTTTTATTTCAGTACCTGACAAAACAAACTGTCGCGTTGCGCGAAGTAAACGACTCAAGACTGAGAATTTATGAGCAGCTGGAAGTGAGCATCCAAGATTTGGAGCGCGCGAATCACAGGCTAGCCGTCGATCATGCAGCTGACAAGAAACACATTAAATCGTGAGTTTACATAATCACTAATATTTTTTCACCAATATATAATTGTGGTTTATCATTATATTACTTTTAGAATTCCCGTTTTTCTTTATTGACTTTTCCCATATATATTATGATAACCATAATAATGTATGTTGATTTACGTATAATTTCAAACAAAGAATGGAATGATACTCTATAATCGGTTTATTTCAATAGTTATCATTATCAATTAATAACTTGTAAAATATATCCTAAATAAAAACATTAAAAAATGAGAATTTTATTAAGCAATATTATTAACAATTTTTATTTACATATTTCAGTTTATGCGCCAATATTGAAACTTTGGAGAGTAAATGTGAAGATCTTCAGAAGATTATCGATGACCTCAATGTCCAATTAGAAATAGCCCGGCGAAGGGCAGAGCGAAAAACAGAAAGCTATGAGAAACCCAAAGACAGTGAACAAAAACGGGAACCAGTCACGCCCAATTCCAAGAAAGTTGAAGTGACCAGTACGCCGCTGAAGACAATAACACCTCTCCCAGAACTGACTAAAGAGGACGAGGATTTACTTAGGCTAAGCGATGAACTTAGAGAAAGCAAAGTCTCTTTCGCCCAAGAGCAAAGAAGAGTAACAGAACTTGAAGAGCAGTTGGCGTCTATGGTTCAAGAAAACAATAGATTGCAAGATCAGCTGAGGAATTGGCATCAAAGAGAAGATGAACCCAAGTCGATGCAAGAAGAGTTCTCCATATTAGAAGAAGTCAGGTATGTTTACAGCAATTTTTATATGATAATGCATTCTAAACAAAACACTGTTTAGAACTAAATAATAATGGCTTCTTAAAAATAGTATAACTCTCTAATAGTAGTATAAATCTATAATAGTATAAGTCTCGTAAACATACAATAGGAATATAGACATTCCTATTGTATGTTGTACCGTGAAGCAGCTGTGTTTGCATGGCTGTGTTTCGGTTTGAAGGGTGGGATGTGGCGTGAATTTATTGATTACAGAGGAATAACACCTGAGTCCTCAGGAATGGCAACGCATGGGGGGTATCATGGGCGAAACAGTATACTCTGTTATGTCCATGGTACTGCTCATGTCTATAAGCGACGGTTACTACTTTCCATCAGGTGGACCGTCAGCTTGTTTGCCATTCTAATGTTGTATAAAAAAAAAGAATAATGTTCGTCTATTCTCCATAAAAGCTACAAGATATTCAACTAAATACTGTTGAAATGGATTTTTTTATTGTACCTATAATAAGTACAATAAAAAACTTTTCAACCGCAATGTCGCTTCAAAGCCCTTTATATATTTTGTGGAGAATGGCAAGTTAAATAGTAACTCTTGGAAGACTATTATGCATCAATGATTTTACTAACTACTTTATTCTTTAGATCGAAATACAGTACAGCGCCGGTCCTAGTCCTTGATCAGGGTAAAGCGAAATTGTTATTCAACATAAATTTAACATAAAGCCAAGTTTTATGTTAAATAAATAAAAAATAATTCCTAAATTTAAAAAATGAACTCTACTTCCGCGCCTCTCAAAAGGCCGTATCATTTTATTTTGTGCTGTAAATTGTTTTTCAATATTTTGCTTTTTGGCGCCTCTTGCCATCTACAGCCTAGGTCCACCATTCTTCTGGCTCTATTCCAAGGTCAGCGCTGTAATAGTAGGACTTACCTAGGCAGTCACAAAATTAGAAGAACCACACAATTACATAGATAGATATGTATCACGAAAATGCACACTAATAAATTGGACATATGATTATTTTTTCAGACAAGGCCAGCTCTGCATCAAATGCCTAAGAGGTGTTGAGCGCGATGACATGTCTTCTATGCTCGACGGCGACGACGATGACAGAAGTGCTATCAGCTCACTGGTCCTCACTCCATCTGGTCAAGACAGCCCCAGGGACGACATCGTTACGAACAAACTTGTCAAATTTGACGTAAGTTCCTCCACACCAATGCTCATGCAGCATGCATTGTTCTGTTGATATAATAACTATCTTCGCTGTAAGCTTCTTTCTCTTTTATGTACAAATAATTTTAGTTCTTCCTAACAATGTCTAGATATTCCACTACTTGTATAATTTTAAAGAAAGCTAATAATGACATTAACACACAATTTCGCATTTATGCAACATGGTTAACATTACTAACACTTGCTATACTAATACTTGAAGCCATAATGAAACATTTAGAATTCTTATTACGCATGTATGGGGATCTACTTGTTTTATTAAAACATCCCCCACTCACATCCTCGCAGCGAGATTACCGTGCCAATTATAAATAATACAATGGCATAGGATTTCCATCAAATCTCATGTGAATATTTCGCTCGTTTCTAGGCGACAAAGCTTTTACAACTGCCCCTGATGTTGTTGATCACGCTTTGCATATGCATTATGAAGCGCATTTGCAGTAGTTTTCTTTGGATATATCGAATGTAGTCGAAGGTACGTCCATTACTGACACATTATTAGAATAAGTGCAACAGTGCACGCTAACCGGTACAGTGGTGAAGGTCATTGTTGAATCATTTATATCGTGCTGAACATTTCATATGGGTAAGGATTTTGACAGCTGATATGAACCGCTATCAAGGTGTTTGGTATCAATAACTATATTCTAACAAATATTAAATTAATAACGATTTTTGTGTAACAATAAATATACTAACATTTAATGATATATGGGTATCAGCTGAATGTATATGTGTAATAACCTATATTTAATATGCAGAGTGACGGTTAATCAGCTATCTTAAATATTGGTATATTATGTAATACAATTTGTGTAATTGTGGAGTAATGGGTGTATTTTTGACTAATATTTTAGCCATTTTGTTACACGTCTTTGACTCTCAAAAAATATCTATTTAAGGTTGAACAAATCATCGATTTCAGTCAACAAGCTTAACTGTCATTACTTTTTATAATTGTTGCCTCCATTTCATATAAATTCAAATTAATAATCTTGTTTTAACAAGATTCTAATGATCATAGAAATAACCAACATTTCACTAGTCATGAATCATGTAATTGCAAATAATGTAGGATATACAACCTAATTTTGATATATCTCTTGTTCTTAATTATTTGTGCTTGCATAATTTACAGAATGCTAAGGAAAAGTTACTCCAAGGCATATGGGCCAATAAGGAAGACGGCCATGATAATCCATATAGAGAGCTTGTTCAGAAGTATGAAGCTCTGTTGGAAGTTCAGCTGTCACAAGTAAAAAATATAAGGAAGAACAAACAGAATACATTACCTAATGTGCATACTCAATCTGGGTCACTGTCACTACAAGACGAACTACAGACTTCTGGAGAATATAGCCAATTCAATGTCAAAGATACTGATGAAGAAAGTGGACATGGTGAAGAAGCACAAAAAGACAATAAACAACAGAAAAAAGTTGAAACGACATCTCGCAAAAAAATTATACAAACACCCGATTTCTCGGAAGCAGAAACATCCAGCTCCGGGTTTTCGGATGAAACAAGCAACAAAGCAACACAAACGGAACGCGAACGTCCAGGCTCTTTTCTCTGCACTATTGCTGATGGCGAAGACTATAGATTCAGCATCTACGATGATGTCAGCCCAATGGACAGCCGTTTCCGTAATAGACCGGAATATCGTGAACTTTTCAAAGAAATCTTCACGATCCTAAAGAAAGCTGCAGAGAATAAGGATGAGGGCGAGCAACTGCCACTCCTTGATGATACAACAGCTGGGAAGGTACCACCCGTTACACCAGCGACGGAAGAGCCACCTGGTAACTTTACTGACGATACCCAAAGTGTCTTGTCGTCTGTCATGTCTGAACAATCGATTCCAGTATCTGATATTACCGCTCCAGAAACACCAACACTGAAAGAAGACAAAGAAGAGAAGCCTATTACAGAACCAGTCACAAAACCAGACATTGTCAAAAATAATAACAAACAAGACAAATTAGAAATAAAACCAATCGTAGAACAAAGTACGCTCGAAGATATCAAAGAAAAAGAAGTGGAAAAGGAGAAAGAAAAGAAACAGGAGAAAGAACGTGTATTGACACCGTTGGTGCGTCAACCTCTGGAGTACATTGCGGCCACTAGAAAGAAGTCCAGACATCGCAATCGCAAACATAGCCAGGATCGTCAAGGAGCAGACTCTCCAGTGTTCCCGTCTCCACCAAAAATCACTTACCAGAAATCATCAAGCAAAAAACGACGAGATTATAGGCCGATCGAAGTGAGCCCCCTTGTGAAAGCAACTGAAAGTGAATGGAACGGATCCACAATGCAATTCTACAATAGGAATATAAACTCGCCCACGCCCAGCGTAAGCGGTAGAACCGGTAAAATATATCAAGGCTGGAACCCTGAGACGGACTCCTGGGATATCAAACAGAGCACGGCCTCGCAGGAGATACATAAATTGAGAAAATTAGAACTTTCCTACGCGGAAGTATTGAGAAACGCCGACAAAACTAAAACAAGGCGCAAGAAGCATCAATAATTTTTTTTAATTATTCGACCCCCTCTTGCTTATTAGTAAGAGCTGAGTGATTCAACCGCCATTTGTCTTTGCCAACTGGACATAAGTAATTTAGTTTAGAAGTATTTGTGATCTGCTAGCGTTACTTTTTAATTTGTAACTAATATATTCACAATTATAAATTGCCATAATAATTTGGTATAGTTGATATACATATACCGCATAATTCCTATGTATGTACACATTCAAATAGTCCAAACATCCAATTTTATTTATTATGTTTTACCTCCCTCCGATAAAGTACATTCCTCTTTTGTTAAGAAAATTTATGCATTTAAAATACAAACTGTTCTCTCAATATAACTTCCATTGAGCACCGGATACCTACTGCATTTGAATTGGATTTGGCATTTTCAATCGACTGAGTTTAAAACTTTAACTCAATTCTGTTACTATTTTAGTCACTACGTTAATTGTATATTATATATTTGAATTTTAATTTGTAAATATCATTTTTAAGTTAATTATATTTTTTTATTGCCATGAATATTTACGAGTACTCAAGGTTTTGTATGGAATTGTATGCTATAACTATTTAATGCAGACAGAGGAAGGTTGAAGGTATAAATAAAAATTTGCATTAAAATTACAATAAGTATTTCATTTATCCTTTAACGATAATCGTCGTTTATAATAAAATTATATGTATAAATAGTATGAAATAATAAATAAAACACTACAGCTATATTACAATATTGTATAGGTTTACTTTTTACACAGATAATTAATATTATAGAATAACAATTTATCGTGGATCATATTGGATTATAACTATTTATATTAACTTTACTCATGTAATTATTTCTGGAGTCGCTTGACTAATTTCACGACTCAACATAACCATTGTTCATGACGAGGCTGTTCTTGTGATTAACACTGTCATATCAGTGAGTTGTTATTTACTACATACATGCTCGATCAGTTAGATGTATGCATGCATGGTACAGTATACATTGATACCCCATCATTGTCCAAAAGACAAATCCAGAAATCGAACCCGAGGGGCTGTGACATAACAATGCGGATTTAGTTTACTGGTAACACAGTCTATTCGTAACAGCCTGTTGTTCATGACTATGAGTTCAATCGAGTCACAAACTAGCAGAGCAACTCTGAAATTAAATACATGAGTAAAACTAATATCGTCATAGTCGTAGAATACTGACGGATCTGACAAATATTACATATAAAGATCCGTCAGTATTCTACGAGTATGACGATATAAATAATTATTAGTCACATTCCTTTAAGTAAACAAGAAAGCAATCCAGGTATGCAATTTTAATGGAACATAACCAATATTTTTTTTAATACACAAAACGATGATCTCAATTTAGTTTCGATTATGTCCATACACATGCATGGAATACTTTCGAATGTTTACGTTATCGATGTAAGATTTATCTACTTGTTCTGCGCATCGAGTTCCTTTTCGACTATCTTGCGATACTCATCGAATCCACCTTCTATACTGGTAACTGATCCATTTCCGCAGATCCATAGTTCCTTGCACACCATTCGTATTAGCCGTTCGTCGTGGGATACCAATATTACACCGCCCTGTAACAATATTTTTATTATACGACAAATACTATACCAAAAATTATACCTAAGAACATGTTTGTATGATTAGCTTTTACCCACGACTTCTTTTATGTGAACAGAATATGTAAAGATGAAAATGAGATTAAAGAGTATCTATCTATCTATGTTCACTGACGGGGATAAAAAGTACTCTATATCTATCTACATATACTATGTGTATAAATTTCATAGTGATTGGTTAAGCAATTGAGGCTCTAAGAGATACAAACAAAATCACATTCACATTTATAATAGTAAGTAAGGATTTCAAGGGTGGGATATAGCAATGAACTTATAGAGTATGGAGGTATAATAACTTGGTCATCAGGTATAGTTACGCATTAGGGATGCCATTGAAATGACAGTATAGATTATACTGTGATTTGATGTCCATGGTACTGCTCAATCTATATATGAGAGTTACCACTTTCCATCAGATGGGCCATAAGCTTATTTGTCACTCTAAGTGTTAAAAAAATATCAGTCCTTTTAAATCTGTTTTAAAAGAAATGTATCCTTATAAATCTGTTTAATAAGGTATGTTAATGTTAACCTTTAAACTACCCCAGTCAAAATTATTATTTATATATCATAATTAGAAATACTATATTAATGATTATGTCCCATAAAAAAATGAACTTCAATTGTGATAAAACCAGTTATTTTCATCTAAAAACTAAAGTATTGAGGAAATTTTGATAAAATTTCTGTAAATGAGCTCTATCCACTGAAATTAATGCTCTTGTCTACTTTGGGTTTGCTGAGAGAGACCTCCATTATAGTTATTTTTTTTTTTTATTTAACACTTTATTGCACCAACATAACATGTTTTGTTAAAACAATTTTCAATACGTATAGAGAGAGAAGCAATCTCTTCCAGACAACCTTTGGGTAGAAAGGATTAAAGCATAAGTAGGTAGGTGGCGCGTTAAAAAAGATAGATTTGTAAAAAATAATATCTGTGACAGCGTAGTTAAGCTGGCCTTCGTACATTTGCTTACCTCTACCATATTTTTATGTATAATTAATGTGTACAATAAAGTATTAAATATATTTATTTATAGATATGATAAGATAAGTATATTCTTACAGATTTTTTTTTGTCTTTATATATACTACGATCTGTCTCCTTGCTGGGACAATAAATAGTATTTTTGACGTATACTTTAATGGCGTGCTCAGTATGCGACTTGAGTCGCATCCTACTTTATTTTATATATCATTACATCAGATAATAAAAGAATTTTCCAAAACGGTTTAGTATTGACGGAGTTATGAGATAACAAGGATAAAAAAAATACAAACCAATTGACCTCCTTTTTTTTAAATAGATTGAAAATAAAATCAAGTACAATAAAAGCAGCGTTTTGGCTCAAGCACTAAAGAAATGTCAAATGCTATATAGCCGAACAGTCAAAAGATTAATCACGAAATATTCTAAGTACAGATAAACTTTATGGGACTATGCCTTTAGGGATTACACACTCGCAGCATTTTATTACGCATTTTTTTTTTTAATGAGACTCCTATTATTGTAGCATTCCTACTCCTATTTTAGGGACATTTCTGTTTTCAATTGTTTTTAAAGTTATTATGTGCAGACACGTACCGTATATTTATTTATCGCTTTTCCCAAAGCTTCAATGGTCTCTATATCCAAGTGATTGGTCGGCTCATCAAGAACCAAGAAATTGGGGTTGCCCATGCACATCCTGGCAAAAGCAACCCGCGACTTTTGTCCTCCGGAAAGACTGGCGATCGTTTGTAGAGCAAGGTCACCACTGACGCCAAAACTGCCCAATTGTCTTCTATATTCTTCTATTGATTTACCTATAAATCATTAGATTATAATTTAATTACATAAATTTTATTGGTACAAAGATCAAAATACATTAGCTTTAGTACTTAAGAAGTTAGTTATTAATTTTTTCCCTTTTTTGGACAAAGCAATATTTTGAACTGCGTCCGTCAATAAATAAAAAATGTTTATTTATTTATTTATAGGAACACCAACATGTTGCATTATATCGTATATAAAAAAACATTAAATACAATACAATAATAATGCACATGTCTATTACAGTATTTACTTTAACATAATTATACAGTATGAAATAAAGTAAACAAGTAATAAGGTATGTTGGAGTTTCAATACTGGTTGATGAACACTGAGTTTTTTTTAATACGTGTATTTTTTATTTATTTGTTCTGTGATAGTCTTTTACAAAACATGTGTTGTTTCACTAAATTGAATATTTTCTATTGCAAATACGTATACATGTTACTACTGCATTCTGCTGTTTACATCATAAAAATACAGGTTCAAATCCCGCTCGCAAACTTTTTTCATTCACAGAAAATTATTAGAATATGATCATGTATATCATTATATTTCTATAATAATTTGTAATTAATAAATAAACGAGTGTCTTATGAGATATGTCTCTAGTCAATAAGAAGACATGGTTAGATTCTCCGAAAAATATACCATTAAAATATAGACAAGTGAAGTCATTCGATCGAAATACTATTTAATGTTTAAAATCATGTATTATTTATGAATTGACTTATCAACTGAAAAACAAAATCTTCATACATATTTCTCTGTAATAGCTACACGTCTGTGCTGTCCATAATATAAAAATGAGAATATAAATGAGATCAACATCTTGAGTAGTTATAAAATAATGTTTCTACTATTAAAATGAAGCAATCTCTAAGACTTGGATAGAATATTTGTACATACCTGGATAACTCTTCTGCAGTAATTCAACTGAATTGACATTCATCTCCAGTTGGTCTACGTGATGCTGTGAGAAGTAGCCGAACTTAAGTCCTCTGTGCACACTCCTAATTCCACTCGTAGGCGAAAGTATTCCCATAATTATTTTTAGTAGAGTCGTCTTGCCAGCACCATTATCACCCACCTATAAAATTAACGTAATAATATTATAATAATTCAGTTTTACTACTGAGATATAGATAGAGAACAATGACATCTGATTTACAATTCACAGAAACGTTTCTTATGGTTATATGTGTACATACAAATTATAATAGTGTGGGTAATGTGTATACAAGGAAATTAGCCCCTCTAGACAATTGTCAAAAACATGTCTATCTATAAATACTATAGCTATCGCATGCACGAGATAAACAAGACAGCAAAGTCCAGCGTCTTATTATTTCACATGCAAGCAGTAACGAAAATATATGTACCGATGGATTCCTTTGCCACTCGCTCCAGAGAACAAGAACACATACTTTTATAATCTGCTCAAACATTTTCATTATTGAATAATAATATACCGTTAGCGCAGGCGGGGTTACCATTTCATGGTGTCATTCAAGTCTATATCCATAAGTTTTTTAATGGGTAAAAATGGAATAATAACCTATTTACGCTGGCAGGCACCAGTGTGAAATGATGACATAGGTGAAATCGAATGCAGATAAGTTGGCTCATCATGACAGATTCGATAAGAATTACTCATGATGGTTTCCAACGGGAACCACGTGGAGGTTGGCCTGATACTGTTGATTATGGGGCTATTAGACCAATTAAGGGATTGTTAGTAAAACAATGCCTTTCTTCTCTACAGGCGATGGTAACTATTTTGAGTTAGGTGAACCGTTCACCTGTTGCCATTTAAAGATATAAATACCAAACCCATCTGGTTTAAATTTACAGTACAATCATTTGAATTATATGTTATTATTATAATAATATAACAGGGGATGCCAAGATCCCGACCAGGAAGACAATATAGGAAATCTACATTAATTAAAATAACAAATGAAAGTGAAAAATAAAAAAAACGCACTGTTAAATTTTGCAAGTTATAAGCAATTAAAGCTAATATATTTGTTTTACACCATTGTCGTGTACCTTGTAGATAGCACTTTTATAATGAAAATGAATCTAACACTACCCTATATATTAAAATATTATATGGTGTTTATCTTTTGGTAGATGAGTAAAAACTAAAATCAACTAGATGAAAAAATTTAATAGAAGTGGACCTCAATCTCATATATAAAGTTTGGCTACTTCTGTAATATAGTGTAACTTAATATATTTTTTTATACTCACAATACATATCCTAGATTCAAGTGTGGCGCCCAAGTTAACATTTGTGAATATAACTTTATCCTTAGAGTAGTAGAATCCAACTTCATTAAGTTGTAATATAGGAGGTGAGAGAGGCTCAGTTTCAGGAAACCGGAGTACTACTTCTATTTCTTTCTCCACTGGTTTCAGTTCTGGACTGTAAATATTAATAAGTATTCTGTTAGAGTCATTATTTTTGTTATAGAGATCTATAACAAAAATAATAATAAATAAGTTGTATAATAAAAAAAATAATGCACGTAGTACGAAACAATGTCGCGAATTTTGCTTCCTTATGTACCACTTATGTGAGAAAAACCTTAATAATGCTTACATAATTATAAATTATAAAAAATGTCCACACTATAACATATATATGTTTACACAGTTTATATTATAATACAGATCAACTATCTTATGTATAATCATGTTATAACTATGTAATAAAAAAAATACTTACAGTTTGTCAAGCATCTTAATCTTGCTCTGTACTGAGGAAGCCCTGTTTGCGTTGTAACGGAAGCGGTCGATAAACTCCTGCGTATGCGCCCGGTGCTGTTGCTGAGCTTCATATTCTCGCTGTTGATTTTTGTGCTTCTCAGTCTTCGTCTTATGGAATTGATCATAATTACCCCTGTAAAAATTATGCTCCTAAGTAAATGACTAGTCAATTGCTAGGACCCCTATAATTTGTGTTTGCTGTCATTTTAATCTATTCTGAAGATGAGAAAGGAATGGACATACATTGATTTTTTCTCCATTACCAATTCACCAAAAAAAATAAACAATAGAAATCATCATACCACTGTTCCTTACCTATACGTGTCTATCCTTTGTGAGTGTAAATGCAATATATCTGTAGGTACAGTATCTAAAAAGTTCCGATCGTGAGAAACAACAAGAAGGGTCGTTGGCCAGTTTTGTAGGTAGTTTTCTAACCAAATAATAGCTTTTATATCCAACATGTTCGTCGGTTCATCCAGTAGTAACAAGTCTGGTCTGAAAATAAAAAAATATTGAATATAATACATTGCTTTGGACATATGATCACACGTGAGAGAGATAACTTAAAGAAGCTCATTATTATTGGTCATGTGAAAGAAGAAGAAAAGGGGTTGAGAAAGATCAACAAGAATATATTTACATGTATTTTTATCACACTATCTTACCTACTCATACATTTATACCTCTTTACAATTGGTTACCATGAAATCTTATTATCTGCTGTCCATATCTGAACTGTAGCAACATGGATTTTAATTATTTTATATATTAATTAACCTGACTTTATGGACAATTTTTATTATACATGGTTTCTTTCATACATGCATTTATATTACTTGCATACACCCACTCTAACTTACCTACCTTGCTTTGGAATTATAATTTTCTTTTGTATAAATAAAATCCGTTATTGGTTGTATTCATAAGATACATAGTATGTAAGTTGTGTTTTTAAGAGCTGTGGAGTTTTGTATAAAATAAATAAATAAATAAAAGAAACCTGCCGAATGAAGTATACCCAAAAATGTATACAGTTGTATGAAAACCGCATGGGTAGAGAGCATTGGTGACGAAAGTGATATCTTCATGTGGTGATGGCCCCTCAGTAATGAGGAAAACAGAAATTATATATTCATTATTTTGTAGTTTTAATGACATCCAAAAAATATTTTATATTATCATTAATAAAATAAAAATAAAGAGTATTAATATGTGATATTATTTTTTTATAAGAAAACTAGTAATTCAAATAGATACCGTCTTTTTGCTTTTCTCCTCTATCCAAAAGGTTGTCTGAAAGAGATTGCTTTAGAGATAATTATACTTTATAAGTATTACTTTGTATTAACAGTGGTGCAATTAAGAGTAAATAAATAAGTAATTTTCAATTAAAATAAGCAAAGACATCCTAAAAACAGAGTATGTATAGTTAATGTTTACTTACTTAGAAAATAAAGCTCTAGCAAGTGCAAGCCTCATCCGCCATCCTCCTGAGAAAGTCTTAGTGGCACGGCTCTGCATCTCTGGTGTGAAACCAAGACCGCTCAGAATGATGGATGCTCGAGCAGGTGCCTTGTCTGCCTCTATATTCTCTAATTGTGCATACAACTCAGTCAATTCCGCTGACAGATTTGAATCTGCTGACCTAACAACAATTTATTAAGTTAATATAATTGTTAAAAATTCCAATTTAAATACACAAACAACTAAAAAAGACACTCTAAACCAATTGCCTAGTTTATAAAAAAATTTCAGACATTAATTGTCCACAGCTGGACATAAGCCTTCCCTATAATGGGAGTTTTGCCAGTAGTTGCGACACTTGGCAGGTGGATTGGCAATCACAGTTAGGCTTTCAGAGATATTTTAAGAGGGATGGAGCTGCCTGTCCCTCTACCATTAAGTCCCCTTAATTGCCTCTTACAACACCCACAGGAAAGGAAGGGATGACCTATTTTATGCTGGGATTTAGAAAGGTTAAAATTATCCACTTAGACTACCAGAAAGTAATAGAGGAAAAGAAAAATAATACAATATTTGTATCAAATCATTACAATAACAATTCTATTCAATATTGTATTAAAATACAAAATACTGAAAAATTTTAACTAAAGAAAAATACTATAAGAAAAATATGATACTCACCCATTGTTAATTGCAACTGTAATCTCTTTTTCTCGTTTCAACAAATTTTCTCTAACTGTGTCACATTCTAGAACACTCTGTAATGCTACTGTATCATCTCCAACTACCTCCTGCTCTACATGAAGTATGGATATATGTGATGGTATTTTTAACTGTTTTGCTGATATCATTCTAAGGAGAGTGGTCTTACCAAGGCCGTTTCGCCCAACTAGACCATAACGACGCCCAAATGCTAAAACAAGATCTGCACCTTGTAGTAACACCCTGAAAATAAGTAAAATTAATCTTATATATTTCAACAATTTTTTACATATAACATTTTTTATATTTTTGTAAAATGTGGGTAGACTTACCTATCTCCATATGCAATGTCAAAGTTTTCTATCCTAATATCCTGTGTCCTATTAGTGCCTTTTGCTTCCAATTTATTATCCTTCTTTGATGTGACCTGTGAAGCAGTAGCAGTTTGTAGCACTGGTGCGGCAGACGTCACTTTTGACTCTTTCTGCCTCTGCTGTTTTTGTTGCAGCTTAGCTTCTGCCTTCTCTAGTTTCTTTGCATCAACTTTCTAAAAGCAAAATAAACATTAGTAAGCACTTTCTACAACAAATAAATTAAGAACATATCTTAAAAGATGTCATACCAAATTATCATCTCTCGTTTGTAACCATATACTTTTAAGGGCATCAGTGTCATTTGTGGTTGTTGTCATAGATGCTAAGTGGATTGGAGCATCTAGTACTTTCCTTGGTCCATTATTTACAGTCTTATCTGGTTGCAGCATATGTAATAGCTGCTCACATATCTCTCTGTAGATATAATTAAATACATAAAAACAGACACAAAAAGAAATGATTACAGTATTATTTATTTTTACCAACTCTAAAGGGGGAAAGATTGAACTACTTTTATAAGGAGTAAAGATTAATTATTTATTTTATTAATTAATTGTTAATTATTTATTTATTAATAAATTTTTTGCTTATGTACTTTTTTTATATATTTGTTTTTTTAAGTATGTACCAATATCAAATGTTACTTGTGTGCTGTAAGTGATGCAAATAAAATATCTCTCTCTAAAAGTGAAAATGAATTTGTTACTTCTTGGTACTTGAAAATCGGCATAGACTTACAAATTAGGATGAAGGACAGGCTTATTCTGGTTAACCAACATATTCCGGTCAAAGAGATGCAATTGCTAATAAAAGCTAGTAAAACAATAAGTTAAAAAACATACCGTATGGCTTCCTCAGATTTCTCTGAAATGCCAGCTAGTACTTCACCAACCGCTTCATAAACTTCTTCCGTGTCTTCGAATTCTCCTGCGCTGTTGTCTAAAATATCTAAAAGAAAATTTGTCTTTAACTTAAAGTTATTGCAATATTGACACGTTACGATGTAAATAAGAAAAAGGGCTCCGACAAATCAGAAGGAATAACCTATAAAACATTTACCTTCAACGTATTTCTTGAGATCATCGTCTATTAATGGAAATTGACTTTTAATAAAGTCACCACATTGAGCCATTTTATATTTACTAAAGCTTGGTAGTCACCAAGAACGTGCTAATTATTCTAAAAACATTTAGTATTAATAAAACTATAAAACGAAATCAATCAACCCGACAAATTGTGAAATACATTGACAAATTGAATTGTCATTGTCAGCGTCTGATGTCATCATTTTTTTTTTTTAGTACGTTTGTTCCGTTTGGAACAGGCTAAGGTCGGAGACCATGCTGCCTAGTCTTCAAAAAGATAATTTGTCTGGAATCTGATGTCATCAGTTGTTGTCGATGTCACGTCGTAATTACAGAATATATAGAAAGATAGATAAGTAAATATCTTCAAACAGCACGCAAACATTCGTACACGATCATAGAGTTTAAACCTAACGGTTCATCTAAACTTTATGCCCATAAACCGTAAAGTAATTATAGTTTACGGTCATGAAATTATATAATGCAGCAATATTAATAGATTAAAGAGTTGAAGGTAGTTGTTATAATGATAAATAGTGTTATTTTATTAATACTTTTATTGTAGCAGTAAACAAGACGTACAAACAAGCCATTTTCAATAATCTATATGTCCAGTGTTGCCACACCAATTCATACAATTCCAACACTTGTTACAGTAGTGATTTATCTCTGAATATATCAAACACCAGATTTGATATATTCAGATATAAAATACTATAATAAAGCCAACCACCGTATTCGGCCCATCCTGAGGCACTTCTCTAAACTTATCTCCTAATATTTTAATTTAATAATTTTAATATCAGTTCTTAAAACAAGAATTTCGGTCTGATATTAAATTGAAAATTTAATTTTAGAGATTTAAAGACGATTCAGAAACGTATCTACACTACCTACAATACCTGTCTCTGTCATAGATTAGGAATGTAATCATAAAGTCGGCACTAAATTTATATCAACGAAACCGAAAAATAAATCTATCCGACTATCTTGAAACATACAAATATTTAAATAATGTACATAACACTGTGGCATAGAATACATAAATACGGCAACTATTTTTAAATATTCTAAAATAGCAGTATTTATAGATAATTATTATAAAAGATTCCATGATTTATAATTGACAGAAAGTGTTGATAAAAAATATTTTGTTGAATAATAATTTAAAACATGTATTGTTTATTATTATTGTTGTATGCTTAGAATATTACTTGCAAAAAAATAATAAAATCGAGTTAAGAGTCTCTTTTCTTTTTACGCAACTTAAAATGGCAAACATGCTGACGGTCCATCTGATGTAAAGTGGTAACCGTCGTTTATTGACATGAAAGTACCATATACTTAACAGAGTATACTCTTTCGCCCATGATATCCACCATGCGTTACTGTTCCTGAGGACTAAAGTGTCTCTGTACCCTGTAAATTCATTGCCATACCCCACGCTTTAAAACCGAAAAAGTTTATGTAAACATAACTGCATGACACTGGAAGGAATGGTCGTAAAAGTAACGACTGATTGTCACTGATAAAAAAAGTAGACAAACTTTACAATTTAATAAACAGGTTACATAGATATCATACATACTTTTTTCTCAAGGCGCTTATACGCCTATTAAACTGAATAAAAAAAAAGGATAAAGGAAATGCCAAATTTGTGCATTTTACCAAAAATTATATAAACATTACTTGCCCAATTTGTTAATAGCAATAAGTCAGTGCAAAAAATCTAATTTTCATTGATTTGGAACACATTATTATATTATTGTATGTGATTATAAGCTAATTGTGGTATATGTACTTGGCGGCACAAGAACGTACACTTCTATTTTATTGTTTTATGAATAACTCGATATTACCGTGAAGTTTATCTGAAATAATATTCGCACAAGATTATAATCTGCCTCATCAATAGATTATACTTGCAGCTAAGACCTACAGGACGCGAATTTCCTTCTAGAGAATCCACATAGCGCTATTGACGCTCGGTTCAGCATTTTTCCCTACATATAGAACATTATCAAACAATGTACCGTGTTTGAATTAAAAATGTAGTGTGGAAACATTATATAGAATTAAATTATATATATCTATTATTTAAATATGAAACTTAGAATTCAAATACATATGACATAGCTTTATTTTCAAATTGTTTACTTGCAAATATTTCTAACCATCCCTATGGGTACTCACTGACCCTAATAAGAAAACTTGATCTGTTTAGAATACTTATATATACACAATGGATAATATTGATAATACTGTATCTGTATTAGCAATGTTAGATAATCAATGTAAGTAAAATTTGGATTTCTATTAAGTTTATATTAGTATATTTATTTTTAATGGATTACAATGTAATCGTAACCCCACCTCCACTATCGGTATACACTGGCATTAGGGAGAGATGATAGATTAGGATGAAAGCATATCAGTTGGCCCATAGTGATGAATTAATCAAGATGGTTTCCAAAGAGGGATTGAAGGGAGGTTGACCTGATAGGGTATATTGTTAGCAAAGGGGGCCATTAGATCCCCAATACTAACAATTCCTTTCCCCCTTAATATGGTATTAAACTATGCTATCCCACTCATGAATGTCTATGCTACTAAGCAGTTGTGTTTACATTGCCAGATTTAAATTTAAAGGTGGCAGTAAGGATATGGAAGCATAATATCTTAGTCTTTAACAATGGCTTCATCTCTATAGTGCTAGCCTATAAATGACAGTTACTACTTTCCATCAGGTGCATGCACTGTCACTTTGTTTATTATTGTTCTTATAAATACAATATATGTAAGAAAAATTAAATAATGAAAACTTTTATACACATATTTAGGTTGGCGCTATTTTGTATCTTTTTCCCTCTGAATAAATCATGTGGACTGCTAAACGTAAAATATTTTAAGGAAAAAGCAGGAAGTAAAAACTACTAAAAAAATAAAGTGGTAAAGGCAATTTAGATAGGTTAACTATCTAAATTGCCTTTATCACATGGGCATTGATGATCATTGATGTAATTGATATCTTGTAAAATTTTTTCAGCAACAACTTATAAACCCAATATGGAAATTACACCTTTTAATCAAAATCATTCTATGAATCAAGAAGAAACTGAACTTAGTGAAAGCAGTAAACAAAGTAGGTATTGTTGCAAGTTATTCTTATTTGAAGATATATTGATAAAAAAATATATGAAAAATTAACATAGAAAAAAAATTCAGTACTATTTGCATATACTAAAAACATGCAAAAAAAATTAAATATTCTACTATTTTTTTAATTATATTTGAAATAGGAATTTAGGCAGCCAAAATTTAAAAAGTAAGTAGTTTCTATTAAACTATCTCTATTGTTTTTAGGTATTATTTGGACAAAAAATGCAACATGTATGCTCTTGAATTTATATGAAACCAAGATGCATATGCTTGACAATCCAAAAAAGAAATCAAAAATGTGGACATCAATAGCTGAAGAATTAAAAGCAATTAATATTGAGGTATTAAATTGTGATAATCTACTAGTTTATAAGTATCTACTAGTATATAACTATAAGTTTATACCATATTGAAACACACCACAACCTAAATGAGGTGAGTGCAGTCATAAAATATTTATAATAAATAACATTATGCACAGGTAACTCCAGATCAAGTGAGATGGAAAATAAATGCTTTAACAAAAAAATATAAAGACTGTATTGATAATGGGCAAGGATCAACAACATTTAAATATTTTAATGAAATGCATCAAATTCTAGGGCGCTATAATAATGAAGGTAATGCATACAGATTGGCATCTGGTGTGATGCAGAGTGATGAAACTGTTGATAAAGAAAGACTCAAAAGGAATTTGTCATCAAAATCTACAGTTCCTTTTCGAAGACTTAGAGCAGAACGAAGAGCTAAGTTGGAATTGGATAAACAATGGATAGAGTACCTTAGGAGACAAGAAGAACATAGACTAGAAAGAGATGAAAGATGTGAAAGGAGTTTAAGATTAAGAGAGGAAGAATTACAGTTAAAAAAAAAAAGAACTAGAAATAAAAAAGTCTATAGCTTTAAAAAAATTACAGTTAAAGGAAAAAAAACAAGAGGAAATTCTCAAAATAGAAAGAGAAAAATGTGCTTTACTCAGGAAATTGTTAGAAGACCAATGAAATGTAATAAATTACTATTTACTATACTAGTGTAACAAAATGTGATATTATAATTATTTATATGCCTACTGGATATTATATTTTTAACAGAATCTCAGCATAATATAACAAAAAGAATTTGATATAATTATAGAATTCAAAATATGTTTACTCATTTTTTTTTAGACACAATTATTTAAATAATGTATAAATATATATATTAAATGACAAGAATACAGTATATTTTCAGAATATGTAGTTGTTATCAAGAATACAGATGGTATTTAAATTATTATATCATAAACTAAATACTTAATTTTTGTTAATACGTATTATACATTATACTGTTTAGGGATATAGTTTCAAATATATACACAGTTAATCAGCTATACGTTTTAATGCCGGCAACAGACTGACAAATCCCGATTGAGAGGTAGGTACACATTTTCAAATGTCATACATTAATGATGTACCCACAAACATCACATCCCTCCACCAGTAGTATAAAATTATCTAAAACAATGAACAGCCTAAAATATCTCAATTACAATTTATAATTTATTTTTTTTCCGAGTCGCTCTAAGGGGTCTTTGACGCAAGGTGTGTTCATTATTATCAGTTGATGGCACATTGAGAGGCTGCACTGGATCCGAACCTAGAGGTATCGGACTCGACGCGCTGTTATCACTTAATATTCTCTCCTCCCCACCAGCTCGCTCCTCTCCCAATTTGGACATCATACTATTATGGATGTTCTCCGGTAATGATTGAAATGAAGAATCGCTGTTTTGATCTTGTTGCTCGTATATGAAATCTTCTTGGCCCTCTGTGCTCTTCTCATATTCTTGTTCAAAGCTTCCAATAATGCTTACATCATCAACCTCATAAGTTTTATCCGAGCCTCTATAAGCTAAAATTTGATCCACATGTTTCTTTACATACTGTTTACTTCCCGGTAATAACACGTTGTACATCCTAGAACCGATTTCCTTAGATATGATCCCAAATTGCCAAATATGTTTGTTACCATTATTATAATACTGCTTAACTAAAACTTTATCTCCTTTTTTGAAATCAGTTCTGCGATGTCCTCCGTATTGTTTACTCTGTAAGGTCTGTTTATTTTTAACATTAGAATTGGCTGTAGCTGATACTGACTCTGTTAAATTATTTGTCCTATCCGCATTTGGCACGTGCAGCAGGAGGTCGAGTCTGCAACGTAAAGACCGACCCAACAACAACTGGGCTGGAGAAAAACCGGTAGTACAATGACTACTATTTCTATAATCAAATAAAAATTTATTCAATTGTTGTAATATAGTTTTCTGTGTTTTGTTTTCTTGTAATATAATTTTTAAAGCCTTTTTTATAGTTTTTACACTGTTTTCTGCTTGCCCATTTGATTGTGGATGATAGGGTGCGATAGTTAAATGTTGTATTCCATTTTTGTTACAGAACTCATCAAATTGATTTGAACAGAAATTAGGAGCATTGTCAGTAATTATAGTTTTCACCAACCCAAACCTACTAAACAGTTCACATATTTTAGAAATAATCATTTCAGTAGTAGTGGTCGTCATTAAAAAACATTCTAACCATTTAGAGTGTGCGTCTATTACTACCATGAAATATTTTCCATCTATATACAACATATCTAGATGTATACGTTCCCATGGCTGCGAAGGGTACGGCCACGGCGCGAGCGGAGCGCGCGGTGGCGCGTTTCGAAGCGCGCCGCATATACTACAAGAGCCGATTTTTTGCTCAATATTCTTATCTATTTGAGGCCACCACATACGACTCCGAGCTTCCGTTTTCGTTTTAACAACTCCGAAATGTGAATTGTGCAATTCGTTTAATAACTGTTCCCTGAAAATAGCCGGAATAACTAATTTATGGCCACGCATTAAACAGTTATTCTCAACTGATAGTTCTAATCTACAGTTATAGTAAGGCCTTAATTCTGGATCGGTTATCTTGGTAGGCCACCCTTTTTCGATGTAACCCATTACTTTTTTAATTAATTTATCGCTAGCTGTAGCTTTTTTAATATCTGTTATAGTCACTGGTTTCAAAATTGTATCCGTGACAAAATTTATATATAAAGCTTGGTCCTCTACATTATTACTGGAATTCTGATCCGGTAATACCGATCTAGACAGGTAATCGGCAACATTTTGATCGCTTTTAATGTATTCTATGTTAAAATTGTAGGCCGATAAAAATAAGGCATACCTTTGTAATCTATTGGCCGCCATTTCCGGTACCCCTTTCTTACTTCCAAAAATTGATAAAAGTGGCCTGTGGTCTGTGCGAAGCGTAAATGGAATCATACGACCGTACAAATAGTAGTGAAACTTTTTTATAGCAAAGACAATAGCAGCCGCTTCCTTCTGGATCTGTGCGTAATTACGTTCTGCTTTGGAAAGTGACCTAGACGCATAAGCAACGACCCGCTCGCGTCCGTCGCTTTGCCGCTGGGCCAGCACAGCGCCCAGTCCTGCTGGACCGGCATCACATGTCACCACAGTGGCTAACACTGGATCGTAATGCGCCAGCACCCGTTCCGATGCCAATTGCTTTTTAATCATATTAAATGTCTCGTCATGTATCGCATCCCACCTCCATTTCTCATTTTTTTCAATAAAGTATGCAGTGGATTTAATAAACTAGAAGTGTTAGGAATAAAGCATCTATAATAATTAACCATACCTAAAAAAGATTTTAATTCATTTACATTTTTTGGGCTTGTACAGTTTAAAATTGCTTCAACTTTTTTTTCCGATTTATGTAAGCCGTTACGATCTATTTTAAATCCTAAATATTCCACCGATTCTTTGAACAATTCGCACTTGTCAGATTTTAGTCGTAGGCCAGCTTCTTGCAGTCGACTTAACACCTCCTCTAACCTCTTAAGATGTACCTCTTTAGTCGCCCCTGTTATTAAAATATCGTCCAAAAATATACAAGTACCCTCGATATCTGATAATAATTGTTCCATTGTCCGTTGAAAAATAGATGGCGCATTTGACAATCCAAAAACTAAACGGTTGTATATAAACAAACCTTTGTGTGTATTTATACATGTAAATTTTTTTGAATCGTCTAGTACTAATTGATTGTAGGCTCTAGAAAGATCTAATTTAGAAAATTCAACCCCTCCATGCAGTTTAGCAAACAAATCCTCAATGCGGGGCAATGGATAATTATCTGAATATAAAGCCTTATTTAATGTCACTGAAAAGTCACCACATATTCTAATATTACCATCTGACCGAAGAACGGGTACAATAGGAGTGGCAAAATCAGAATATTCTACTTTCTCTAAAATTCCTAATTCCAAAAGACGTTGTAATTCATTTTCTACTTTTGTTCGAAGAGCAAGGGGTACCGGGCGAGGCTTAAAAAATTTTAATTGCGAGTCTGATTTTAATTTTAAATTTATTTTATATTTGTTAAAAGTACCTAACTCATCTTTGAATAAATCACTAAACTTTTTTTTTAATAAATCACTAATATTTTCAACATTTAAATTATTGCAACCGACCCTACACAAATGTAAATCAAATGCGCTAATGAAATCCCGGCCTAATAATGCTGGTTGATTGTTTTGTGTATTTATTACAAACAATTTAATTGGTTTAATGCGACCTTCAAAAGTGACTGAAGTCATTATGTAACCTACAGGTGAGATTTTGCTCCCGTTATAACAATTCAAAACAACTTCACACGGTTTAAGCTTATTTTTCTTTTCAAACGCGGACCGATATATACTATAAGGCAAGACAGAAACAGCGCTACCACTATCGACTTCGCTGCAGGCGCCGAGCCAGGCCGCGGCGCGCCGCCGCCGCCGGTCCCGCCGCCGCCGCCGCCACCGTCGCCGCTGCGGCCGCCGCGCTCACTGCGCTCTGTACGCAACGAGAACACCGGCTGCGCCAGCACTCCTCCACTTGCATCCATGTCCACCCCTTGCAATGCTTGCCGCGCACACTGCACACCTTGAGCGATCTCCAAAGCTTGGTTAAAGGTCAAAGTTTCGACACTTTCAGCAAATAACTTTTCTTTCTCCTTCGAAGGCACCATACCGAGAACAAAACGATCTCGAAGCATTGTTTCCAGTTCAGTTTTGTACCCACAATGTTTAGCCAAATTCCGCACTCGAGCTGCCCATTCCGCTAACTCCTCACCCGGTCGTTGTTGTGCCGAGTTGAATTTGAGCCGCTCGCCAAAGGAACTTTTTTTACTTTTGAAATGATTATTTAAAATTTTAATCAACGCTTTGTAGTCGATAACCTCCACAGAGGTCGGGAAGGTCAAATCGATCGCTATTCGGTAGGTATCTTCAGCCAGCGCCGTGAGTAACAACGCACGGCGTTTTATCCCTGTCTTGTCTGTGTTATCGTCGATATCATTCGCTGCACAATATTGTACAAAACGGCTTTGAAAAATGCTCCATTCTTGCGTTCTATGATCGAAGCTGAGACTGCCGCCGAACATGCTTCCACTACTAGCCATTTTACTTCCACTACACTAAATGACTAAATGCACGCTTGAGTTCAATACCTCGTCGCCAAAATATACTGTTTAGGGATATAGTTTCAAATATATACACAGTTAATCAGCTATACGTTTTAATGCCGGCAACAGACTGACAAATCCCGATTGAGAGGTAGGTACACATTTTCAAATGTCATACATTAATGATGTACCCACAAACATCACATACATAGAAAACACATATGCCCAGTCTCATGAATAGAGATTGAGCTCATGACCAGAAGATCAGTTAAGGTTGTTCTTGTGGGCTAACACCTCAATCATGATGCTTTATTTTTAAATTGATAATAATGGAATGATAACCACATCTGCATTGTTATCGGTGTACACTAGCGGGGCACCAACAAATGGTAAAGATAGGTAGAAGGTGATAGGTGAGGATAAAAAAAGGTCAGTTAGCCTATCGTGATGAATTCCTTAAGAATAAGTCACAATTGTTTCCAGGGAGAACCACAAGGAGGTCAACCTGACAGGGTATATTGCTAGCAATGGGATCACTTTTGGCTTCATTACCACCAATCCCTATTCTCCCATTATGATACTTTTAATGATGACCATGGTCTGCAAGAAAACTGTATACACCATTAGTGTAGTTATTAGTTATTTAGTAAGTGACAAGAGAAACATCCACCATTACATTAGTATGTTGATTTTAGTGATATAAAACATGTTAGCAAAATAGAAAATATATGAAAATATGATCTTTCTCTTCAGTCACTCTTGTTCTTCTAAGTAATCATTTTCATTAAGACAGTAATTATGTAAAATACATGCTGCTACAATTGTATCTGTGATGAATGCAATATTTCTGTAAACTGTGAAAAGTTTGATACGTTGAAATCTTCGTTTTAAGAGTTGGAATGCCTTATCACTTATTTTTCTAGTAGCAGAATGTAATGAATTGAACTCCCTTTGTTGCAATGTTAATCGTTTATTTTCACGAAATGGGGGAACCAACCATGGTAAAGCAGGATATCCTGAATGGCCAACTAAAAATGTATTGTCTGGAAACAGTGCATTTCTATTTTGCGATGCTGTATTATATAATGGTGATTTTCTTAGTACACGAGAACAATTTGAAGAACCTGGTTCTCCACAAAATATATTTGTAAATCGCATATTGGCATCAACAGTAGCTTGAAGAATTACTGAAAAGTATCCTCTGGGATTACAATATTGCCTTGCATTCTTAGGTTTCTCAATTCTTATATGAGTACAATCAATGACACCCAACATATTTGATATTCCAGTTTTAACATGAAATGTCTCACATATAGTTTTTATTTCATTATAATCTTGGGGCCATTTAATAGCATCATTTAATTTAGTTAAAATCCATGCAACAACTCTCCTGATTACTCTGAATGTTGAAGATATTGATATGTCAAAACGAGTTGCCATGGGAGTTAATGGTTCTGTATTAGCAATAAATGATAAAAATATATAAAAACATAATTTTGGTTCCAATGGCTTTAATCCAAACTTATGAGATGCTATAAATCCAGATTTTTCCAAGTCAGCTAAAACAAATATCACAACAATGATATAATATTGCAACTAATAAGTTATAAACTGTATAAATAAATAGGTTGGTATTATTATAAGAATTCAGATTTCAAATAAAGATAGTTTTTTTCATAGACTACCTTTAAATATTGTTTTTTGACATTCTGGACCTGTATGTTTTATTATATATTGGTCATAATAATAGATTTACCATTTGTAAATTTGATCTAAATAATCATCCTTCTCAAGAATATGGAGATAAAAAATGGAAGCCCTTAAATATTCTAAAAAAATTATTTAGTCATAATTCTAATTCTAACTATTTAAGCTTGCTAACTCATCAGTGATTTTATTTCTATAACTATTCATCACTATCATCACATCCATATCAGCCTTTATATGTCCACTGCTGAATATAAGCCTTCTAGGGGTTTTTCAATAGTTGCCATACTTAGCACACAGATTGGCAACTGCAGTTAGGATAGTTTACCAGAGGGAGACTTTGTACAAAAGTCGATTGCTTGGGTACCTCTGTCCCATTCGTGTTTCTACCGTGAAGTAGTTGTGTTTACATGGCTGTGTTTCGGTTTGAAGGGTGGGATATGGCGTGAATTTACTGGGTACAGAGGAATAACACCTGAGTCCTCAGGAATGGCAACGCATGAGGGGTATCATGGGCGAAACAGTATACTCTGTTATGTTCATGGTACTGCTCATGTCTATAGGCGACGGTTACCACTTTCCATCAGGTGGGCCGTCAGCTTGTTTGCCATTCTAAGTTGTATAAAAAAAAAAAAAAAAATTTAGAGGTGTATCAAGAGGGATGCTGCTGATTTGCTTCTTGCTGCTATTTGCCTCTTAAACTCCAAGCATAGCTTTTTCCAAAGCTCACTGAATACCCTTTAATTGGTGAATATGTGGAATCCTTAGTCTCTATGTTTTTTCAGTTATTCTATTAGTGTAAATAATAAACATGCTTATTCATAAAATTATTTTTAACAGTGTTGACTTACCAATTAAACGCATTGCTGTTTTTCTAGATATTCTTAAACGTTTTTTAAATTCTGTATCAGACCATGAATCAATAATATGCAAATAATCATCAACACGTTTTCTCCTAAGTCTTAATAAATACTGCATCAATGGAAAAAACAATTTATCACTTTCATCATCTTCTTCAGAAGATTCATATTTTTCGCTGCATATTTCTCCCCAGCTACTTACATCACTGTCATCACTACTGCTAAGTATAGTTTCTGTTAACCAAATAATCATCTTGGAATCTTCCATTTCATTAAAATAATAATAATTAAAAGCTACTTATATTTTCGTAACTTAATGTTTGTTTACAACAGAAACACAGATTAGAGAGTGTTAGAGAGACTACGTGTAAACCAAAGAGTATATAACCCAAAGTCTACCTTGTTCTTGGATATAACCAAAGGAAATGAGACTTTATTTCTGTTTGTGAAATCAGCTTATATTTCCGTAGTGGAAGGGAATAGGATAAACACAATATAAAAGTACGATAAAATTTAATAGAAGAGCAAATACAGAAAAGCAACGATTGTTTCTAACAGTGTGTCAACTAAATTTAAAAACATATCTTTTTAAATTACAACCGGCCAGTAGTTTATAGCTGTATGAAAATAAACCTATTTCTAATAATTTCATATAAGGCACGTAAAACGACTAGACGATCGAATATCAACACAATCATTTTGGATATACAAATTACATAATGTAATTGTGCCATATCATCATCATCATCATCATAATTTCAGCCACTATCCGTCCGCTACTAGACATAGGCCTCCCCTATAGACATAAGGAAGGTCCTGAGCCACCTGCAACCTGTCTATCACTCCATCTAGTGGCGGGTCGTCCTACACTGTGTTTGTCCGTACGGGGTCGCCACTCAAGAACCTTTCTTCCCCATTGGTTGACAATTTTTCGAACTATGTGACCAGCCATCGCCACTTCAGTTTGCATATCCTTCGGACTATATCAGTAATTTAATTTGAAATGATAAATTATATTGCGTAGTTTTCCGAACTACTGTTGCTGCTGCCCAACCAAGTTGGTTTCGTCGGTTGACCTCTTGGTCGAAGTTGGACTTACCTATTCGGATAACTTGTCCCAGGTATACATACTTGTCGATAACTTCGAGCGTAGTGCTCTCAAACGTAACCGCTATAGGTCATATCGTCATAGTCGTAGAATATTGACGGACCTTTATATGTAATCATTGTTAGATCCGTCAGTATTCTATGACTATGACGATATTACACACGTGGACGCTAAACATGATTTTAGTCTTATCCTTTCCCAAAAGTCTCTCCTTTTCTATAAAGTCAGACAACTGCTGTTCTCTAGGATTTCGTTGCCCGATACCGTAATTTCATTCTTGTTTCCTTGTGTCAAGTAAAGCGTTGAGGTCTCCCATCAATATTGTGTACTGAGTGTCAGAGAAATGTTCTCTTGTAATGTTCTCATACATTGCTTCCACCTCATCATCGGAGTGTGTCACGGTCCATGCATGTACCTGTAGAACCTTCAGCGAATATCTTTTGGTAATTATTAGTATCAAGTATACCACTTTTGCGGACACACTCTCGATCTTTAGAACATTATTAACTAGGGACTTGCAGATAAATATCGGTCCTTAAAGTTCGTGCATTGTATCTTGGCAGGTCCAATCGTTGTGGTTGGTAGCGAAATTTCTATCGGAGATCCTTAGCACTCTCTCCTCCGCTGTTACCGTGCTCGAGAATACTATCGAGATAGTTTTGTCAGTACTTGCCACGCAGGCGGATTGGTAAGGATTTTAAGAGAGATGCTGCTGCCCTTCTTTCTACCATAAGTTCCCTTAGTCGCCTCTTAAGACACCTACGAGACAGATAGGAATGGCCTATTCTAAGTCAGGACCAACACGGTAATAGTGCCATAACAAGAAGACAATTTAAAGTTGAACCATGCCAGCACACACAATGCTAGCTGTTACTTTAAAAATACAATTATAGTCTAGTAATTGTAGTAAATTTTCTATTTATTTATACTTAATTTTTTCTATGATTGAGTAGCAAACATTTAATAATATTCATATGGTCCTTTTAAATCACTAAACGAAATATAAAATCTTTAGTCTTTAGATATAGTTTTTCTAATCTGTGGTTGTATGCTCTTTGATTGTGATTGACAGTAACCTAGTTTCTCTATTATATTAACTGTAGTAAAAAAAATAAAGTTACTCTTAATCTGGACTTTTTATAAACAGAATAGTGTAGTAATTAAACACTAAATAACATGTTTAGATTAGATTTATGTTTAGGAAATGCTAATTTAAGCAATTATTAAAATGGATATTGATTCAAATAATTCGTATGTTGACAATGTTTTAGATGATTGTAAGCACCTAAGCCTACTATATTTTTAAGAGATTTCATAAATTAGATTTTCGTTCTCATTTCGCTTGTAAATCCATCACCGCCACCACATGGCAAATGGTGTAACCGCTCTGTACGAAATATCTTCATATCGAATTCATGGTGTAGTTTATTACCATAACTTCAAATTAACTATTTCAGATTAGTCATAATAATGACAATTGTTTTTCGTTAAAATAAGTAATAAAATAAATAAGTAATATATTTTTTGTTAAATAGTTTAAAATTAGTCGTAACATTTCTGCATAAAAGTTTCATTTTTAATTAATGTTATAAATAAATTGAAATAAATAAATATATTCCTACAGTGTGTGAAAACACCTATTTAAGCTTTAATTATAATTATTTGAAACAAATAATGTTTGTAATTAATAGCTAATAACTTGTTAAGTTTAAGATTAAACTATTTCAGATTTAGATAATAATTTTACTACTTTTATAAAAATATTGTATGCAAAATATTTTGTAGCCTATCACAATACAGAGAAATTAGGAACTTGCAATGAAAGAAGCACCAATGATGATACACAAATTACTTATAGTAATGAATCAGAAGAATTAAAATTAAATTCTAATGGAAGTAGTGAAAAACAAAGTAAGTATTTGATGATTGATTTTTCAAAAGTAGCTAAGTAATATGCTTTATAAATATATTTTATTATTTATTATATAAAAAAAAACATTCATAATTTTGTAATTATTTTTTGTGTGTACAGATTTTAATTAATAATAGTAAAATTATAATTACAGAGTATATATGTTAAATTTCATGATATCAATGAATGAATTATAAAATAATCTAATTAACATTACAGGTGCTGTGTGGACAACAAAATCAACCATTACCCTTTTAAAACTATATGAATCCAAGTTAGAAATGCTTGAAACACCAAAAAAGAAGACTAGAATCTGGATTGCAATATCAGACAGTCTGAAAAAATGTGGCATTGAGGTATATATGTATATTATTAATGAATAGTTGAAAAAAGCAGAGTTAAGCAGCTTTAACAAGATAAGATTCCAATGCTTATTTTTATTACAGATGACTCCTGATCAAGTAAGATGGAAAATAAATGCTTTAGCAAAAAAATATAAACAGTGTATTGATAGTGGACAACATAAGAAATTTAGATATTTCAAAGAAATGGATAGTATTTATTCACAATACAATGTTGATTGTGATTCATATACAATATCAGAAATACTAAAAAAGAAGAGAAATGGGAGTAAACAATCTACATCAAATGAATTAGATGCTACTTCTGGATCAGAAAGCAAAGCAATGATTGAACTGAGAAAGTTCAGATTAGCCAGTAGAATAGAATCTGAGAGAACACAAACAAAACTAAATATAGAAAGACAATGGTTAGAATATCTAAGGCAGCAGGAACAACACAGACTTGTTAAAGAGGATTTAATTGAGAGGCAGTTAAAATTAAAAGAGGAAGAGCTGGAGCTGAGAAGAAGAGAAGTGGCACTAAAAGAAGCACTTGAATGCAAGAAAATTGAATTAGCTGAAAAGGATGTTAACGAAATTTTACAGATACAAAGAGAAAAATGTGCATTGTTAATGCAATTATTTTCATGACATCTATACTATATATATGTGTGGCTCAAAACTATTATATAAATATAAGTAAAGCTAATACTTAGAGATGTTTTCAGCTATGTAACATATTAATATATTAACTGCTATTAATAAATAAATATATTATTATTATTATTAATTTTAAATTTAGACTTAAAACCTAATTGTGTTAATTATAGGGCAACCAAATATTTAATGTTACAATATTTTTTTTTACACCAGCTTTGTTCAAATTTCAGTTAGTAAACTTGTAAGAGTAAAGTTTGCATCTAGTTTATGTTCTAATTTTCTTGTTGTTGTCCAATATGCTTGAATATAATTTTAATTAGGAAGACTTATGTATTCTTAATTACCTTGAAGAAAAACAACAATAAAATAAACAAATATGGTAAAATTTAATATTTAGCTTACATGGATGATATTTTCATCACATTTTGAAAACAAAGCATAATTTAATAACTACAAGACCTAGGAATATAAATTTTAGTATTTTTGTTAGATAATAGATCTGATTACCGTCCATAACCCGTTGGTCCAATGCTTACGGGACAACCTGGAGGCTTATCATCAGCTTATAAGAAACCATCTTTATACAGGGCAGTTCAGAAGTAGACCTTAAACACTATTGTTTAAATTCATACCATGACGCCTTTAAAGTAATTATAGAAATGCTAATTATAGATAAAAAATAAATTATTATGAGCATAAATGCTTTTAAATTGTCAGATGGATTAAATTATAAATATAAGATAGTCCTAATACATTTTCTTTTATCTTTTTATGAAAGAAAGTACATTCAGGACTATATTCAATATTAATTTCTATATATGTAATTTTAGTTTCTTAATTTCTCTGCAGAGGCGCACTAATACGTGCTTGCAAATGTCTTTTACGTGAAATAAAATATATAAAAATGATGATGCAGTAAAAATCGTATTTGTTCGACTATTATTAATAATTTCAATACCCAATATAAGATTAATAAATAGGAGTATCTACCTAAGTATTAAAATTAATTTATAAAAGTGTCAATCCTAATTTAACTCATTTTTCTAATGACGAGAGCGGTGTACTCTTGTTTCTATTCACCCCGACCTCGGAGTATATAGAATGCTTTTTATGTATAAATATATAACATATCTTAAAATGGCAAAAAGGCTGAATGCTCACCTGATAAAAAGTTGTGATTGTCATCTATAGATATGAAAAGTACCATGGACATAACAGAGTATACATTTTCGTTCATGATACCTCTCATGAGCTGCTATTTTTGAGGACTGTGTTATGCTTCTGTATCCTTTAAATTCACTGCCATATCCCATCCTTCAAGCCGAAAGATAGCCATGCAAACACAATGCTAGAAACTCGAATGAAACAATAGCATCTAAGTAAACGACTTTTGTACAAAGTCTCCCTCTGGTAAAATAAACATATTATGAAAGATATCATGGAAACCAACCAATTTTTTTTTAAATGAATGATAATGGAATGATCACTCCCCCTGTGCTAACGGTATACGTTGGCAGTGCACCAGTAAGGGATAATAGATGAAAATGAAAAGGCAGACCAGTTAATCACCATGACGAATTTACTTGGAATTGAACAAAATAGTTTCCAAGGAGAACCGCGAGGAGGTCAACCTGACACTATACCGAATATATTCTGTATTGCTAACAATGGGGATACTAATCCCCATTGCTAATACCAATCTGTTTTCCCCGACCAGCCAATTTAGTTAATAATATGTAGTCAAATTTTAAAGATCATGATCTTGAAATGTATAATGAATCATCAAATTATTCTATACAGATAGATTATTTTGAAACACATTGAAACGAAGTTTTAATTCTTTCCATTCGCCCCGTTTTATGCTATTTCCAAATTTTGTTAGTAGGGTGAAGTACCGAGTAGAAAAAAGATTTGTATTCTGTGGTTCGTAGTTCCAATTGACCCATAGGGGAAAAAAGGCGGGAAACTCGAATAAGAACAAGCGGGTTTTTTAAATTTTTTTTATTAATTTATTAAAACTATCTCTATCAATTCTTATTATTGAATAAAATATTATATTTTCACTAAATTCAGCGACAGTAATATAATTAGCATTCATGGGGAAGCGCAGTTGTAGAAAAAGGAAAAAAAAAGATGACGATTCAGGTGATGTAGACCATGAACCTTGTAATGACAAGGATATATATTCGGAAGATACTTCTACTGACTCAGAATCTGAAATTGATAAGGCCGATAAGTATAAACCTTACTACGTCACAGATTATATTAGAAGATATCCCGAGGAATCCCCTGGGACAGAATTTGTTGTCTTTGTAGAATCCTCAGATAGTCAGAAAACCATTGGATCCAGAGACTTGCTCTCACTCTCCTCCTGTTTAAAACGATTTAATAAAGGGGTAACTTATCTTAGATCTATAAATAAATTCAAAATCGGAGTATACTTTCAAAAGCCAGACTTAGCCAATGCTTTTTTAAATAATAAAACTTTTTTAAATGACTACCATTTTAAGGCCAGTATTCCTGCTTCTTCAACAGAAGTTACAGGCGTTATTAGAAATGTACCTACAAATATATCTAATAAAAAAAAATATATACTATGATATCGAGTTCTAAGAAAATTATTGCTATTAAAAGAATTTTAAGAAAAAATACCTTGACTCATGGATATGTGTTACAGCCAACTCTAACCGTGACAATTACTTTTGCTGCATCTGTATTACCTGAATATCTGGATATTGGAGGTTGGCGCCACAATGTCACTCCATATATACCACCAGTTAAACAATGCTACCGGTGCTTGAGGTATGGACATTTAGCTAAATTCTGTAAGAATTCTGAGCGTTGCAGCATCTGCAAAGGTGAGCATAATTATAAAACTTGTACAACTGGAATGGAAAACGCTATTTGTGTACACTGCAAAGGAAATCACACAAGTGTATCACCGCAATGCCCTGTTAAACAAAAGAAAATTGCTGAAAATAGATCTAAATTCAGACCTGCTTCTTTTGGAGATATACTTAGCACTGAAATATTTCCTAAACTGGGTAACAAACCTAAAAAAAATGTAGACCTAATTTCAATTCTAAATTCTGATAACAAGAGTTTATCACTTTTAATAGAAAGCATAATCAAACTTATTTCACTACATAACACAAAGAACACATCTATTAACACTAAAAGTGTTTTGAATGTGTTATATGATACTTTTGGTAATAGACCTATTTCACAAAATTCAATCGAGACCAATTAACTATCATACAGTGGAACGCTCAGAGCCTACTGAGCAATCGACATATTTTTACACAATTTTTAAATGAACATCATATTCACATTGCTCTCATCTCAGAAACTTGGCTAAAACCACATTACAAATTAAAAATTAAAGATTATTGTATAGAACGAAATGATTGTGGTAATAACCACAATGGAGTAGCGATTATTATACATAATAGTATTAGATATAAAAAACTTCACTCTTTTTTCGACAATGCTTTGCAAACTATAGCTATTAGTATTGAAGTTAATAATTCTTGGTATTCAGTTGCCAGTATTTACTGTCCTACCAATAGTACACCTAGTTTTACTAAAGCCAAATTTAAGTTCTTTTTGGAGTCTCTTCCTAAACCCACTATCATATCTGGAGATTTAAATGCACATCATACTATGTGGGGTTGTACCTCCACTAATACAAGAGGTAAAGACATTCTTGATTGTTTAGATGAATGTAATTTGGTACTATTAAATGATAAGCAAGTTACTACTGTTGGCTCTCATATTTGGAGACCCAATGGCCTTGATTTAACTATGGTATCCCCATCCATATCATTAAAATGCGAGTGGTCGGTTCATGATGATCCGTTAGGAAGTTATCACCTGCCGACTTTTACTAAAATAAACACAAAGAACTCTTCATCAACTCCGTCAGGTGAACAACATGCTCCTATAGATGAAGTTAATAAACTTTTGTTAAATCGTATAAACCTACGTCTCGTTAATTGGGATCTTTATTCTGAAACTGTTAATCAATTACTTTTGGATTTCGAATATGATGTCAATGAACCCTTAAACAATTACAATAGGTTCTGTAAAATTATTTTGACAGCTGTGGAACGTTCCGTTCCACGTAGGAACTTATCAAATAGCGGTGCAAATACTTCAAAGAGGCACAAACATATTGCAGTACCTTGGTGGAATAACAGGTGTGCGACAGCTGTCAATGATAGTAAAGCGGCTTACCTTAGGTTTAAACAAAATCCAACTCTCGATAATTACATAAATTTTAAAAGAGTTCAAGCTGTTAAAAAGTTAGTAATTAAGCAAGTAAGACAACAGGGGTGGCAGGAATTTTGTTCCAAATTTAATAGATTAACACCAATTTCCACTGTTTGGCAAAATATGAGAAAACTAAATTCAAAACATCGTCAAAATCATTTTAAAGATATATCATGGGTCAATGATTTTTTACGCAAATATACTCCTGATTTTGTACACTCATCTTTTGATGACAAACAGTTTAATTCTGTTAATTCATGCCCAAAATTTCTCACTGACCCATTCTCAATTGATGAAATATCCAGTGCAGTAAAATCTAGAAAAGATACAGCTAGTGGCCTTGATCGCTTAACATACAATATGTTTCGATTGCTGAATAAAATAAACCTTACTAAACTCTTACAAATTTTTAACGATTTATGGAAGGACTGTATTATCCCACCAGAATGGAAAATGGATTGTTTGATTCCAGTAATTAAACCCGGTAAAGATCCTACAAATTTCGACTCCTATAGACCTATAACATTGACGTCCTGTGCAGGCAAATTATTCGAACAATTAATTAAACAGCGTTTAGAGCTCTTTATTGAAAGTAATAGTATATTACCATCGAATCAATTTGGTTTTCGCCGTGGATATTCAGCGCGCGAAAGTTTAGCGAACTTCTATGTCGACCTTAGTACTGCTTTGAATAACGATGAATATGTTCTATCTGTTTTTTTAGATGTCGTAGGAGCTTTTAACAATGTAAATTTAACAGTTCTATCTTCGATTTTATCCTCATTTCTTCCAATGAAACTTATCGAATGGATTTATAATTTTCTTAGTAATAGAGAAGTGTATGTTAAAGTAAATAGT